TGGGGGAAAAATTACATGAATAATTCCATTACCTTACCATGATTTGTCTGTGTTTTTTCTTAGATTTTACATGACAAAGTTACTTTCCTAATTATGAGTAATCAAAGTGCTGAGTATTCCTCTATCTTCTTTAATTAACTTATCTTCTCTTCCTCCCTCCCACACCAACAATCCTGCTTAACATTCTTCCAACCTCAAATATTGAAAGGAGAGATTAGAACAAAAATATTTGTGTTAATTATTTCACTGACTTTCTTCACTTGCCTTTACTATGAGACTTGCAGGTTCAGCTGTGGGACTAAATAACTGGTCCTCAGATGCATGCCCGAGAAGCACTGAAGGGACTGTGAGAAGGAGGCTGCTGAAGGCTTGCTGGTATGGAAAATAGGCAAGATCCTGTGTATTCTACAGCCATGGAATTTGCAGAGCAATTCACCATTTGTGGCACCATCATATCCCAGAATCTGAGCTTTAATTAAAAAAAAAAAAAAAAAACCCCCCCCCCCCCCCCCCCCCCCCCCCCCCCCCCCCCCCCCCCCCCCATATATCTGGCTTTTATGCAGGGGTGAAAGTAACTTAAATTTCTTACAGGCAATGTCATATCACAACCCCCCTACAAGAAGTCAAAAATGAAAACGGAAGGGAAACATTTTGTTCCTAGTGAATGTAAAATACATGTAATTAAAGCAGTAAATCTGATTTTCTCTTATTAATACAGTTTAATTCCCATTAATCTTATTTTAAAATTTGATATTGCAGTGTAGTAAACAAAGCCCTGCAATGGACCACCTCGTGGCACGGGGTTGGGTGTGTGTGTGTGTGTGTGTGTGTGTGGGTGTGGGTCACACTGGACGACTCTGCCCTACACTGCTCCACACTGCTCCTATTCCTGGCCAAATGGGAGCTCTGGGGGTGGCACCTGCAGGCAAGGCTGTGCATGAAGATCTTTTGCTGCTCTCTTCCCTCCAGGGTCATACACTTCCAGGTGCAGCACGGGGCCAGCAGGACAGGCTGGAAGCCCCACACTGCTGGCAGAAGCCTGGTTGGGAGTATGTTCACACACTCCCATCTGCAGCGTAGGGCCAGTCAAGCACTGGAGTAGCCAGCCTGAATTCCAACTACTGCCCAGTGTGCATACCTGCCAGCCCATCATCCCCGTGTCAGTGGCTTAGAGAAGAAACAGCCCTGGTCACTTCCAAATCCCCTGCTTCTAGCTCCCTAGCCCCGAAGTACTTGAGAAACCACTACCCACCAGCCAGAGACCCGCCCCCAGGTGGCCACTTTCTTACTGGTACAGCGTACCTGGACACACTGACCTTTGCTCTTACGGTTGCGAAGATAACAAATGTGAACAGACTGTAAACCAATGTAATACAGCCCACCTGGGTTTGCAGACAGACTGGAAACAAGAGTTTTAAGAGGTGTGAATTGCCCCATTCATCTCAAACAGTTCTGTGGCCTCCACCATTCACACTTTATGTTCACACTTACAGAATGTGGTAATTTTCTAAGATGCCCAGCATAAATAAAAAATGTTGACATATAGCAAAATGGCAAATTCTAACTTTTTGTATTCTTGCTCCCTGTTTTGCTGGAACTTGTCTAGAGCTGCATCTTGTTCTTTAGATTTCCTCACAAGGGGTATGTCTACACTACCCCGCTAGTTCGAACTAGTGGGGTAATGTAGGCATACCTCACTTGCAAATGAAGCCCGGGATTTGAATTTCCCGGGCTTCATTTGCATAAGCGGGGAACCGCCATTTTTAAAACCCCGCTGGTTCGAACCCCATGCAGCGCGGCTACACGGGGCATGAACTAGGTAGTTCGAACTAGGCTTCCTAGTTCGAACTACCGTTACTCCTCATTCCACGAGGTGTACCGGTAGTTCGGAATAGGAAGCCTAGTTCGAACTACCTAGTTCGTGCCCCGTGTAGCCGCGCTGCACGGGGTTCG